ACGTAATAGGCCGGATTGCTAAGAGTATAATCCGGGTGGACGCTTGCAGAATCTGCACTATATAAAATACGGTGGCAGCGTTTCCCTGACGGTCTGAGACAGTTATAATAGTATATAATTGTCTTAATCAATCTTAACCTGTTTTATGACGATTTTAGCTATGCTTTATCTGATAATTAAGAGTCTTAATTACTAAGTGAAGATATACCTATTTTACCTACCCTTTTACCACTACTATCGATTTAAGAAGCTATCTAGCTACGCCGATATAGCGTGTTAATCTATAAAATAACTATTAAGATATCGTATCTTAGCCCTATTACGTATAAAACCTATAAGGATTAGGAGCTCTGGCGACGCCTATACGAATCGGTTACTACCTATAATAACATGTAGAGGTTTCTCTACCTAGTTAATCCGACTTAGTCCCCCGAAGAGCCTATAATGCCGAATTATGACTCTTTCCCCTCTACAACGCTTAGACGTACCCCTATATAATATCTTAACCTTACGGACGCTGGCTAGAAAGCGTACGACGTCGAAATCGCGCGCTAGAAGATCCTATAAACGTAATACGATAGCTACCTAAAGGGGATTAACGCTATACTAACCTAGCAGGTTAATACTATCGACTAAAGCCGTAGATAACTACTATAAGGAGGTATACCTTATAAGGTATACGAAGCCATTAAACACGATACGGATTAGTACCTGGCTACCCACTAAACTAATACCCATGAAAAGTATATCGAGTATACTTATTATCCTGCGAATAGCCTTAAAAAGCTTGGGGAGTAGTTAGATAAGTAGTAGCTACTACTATAAAGCTATAAAGATACCGGTTCAAAGCCCGCTATATATATATAGGTTATAGATTTCTTTAGAGGTATATGCCCCTATACCGGCCGCGATTAGACTAAGGCCGAGGGTCGCCTAGTAGATAACTAGGTAGTTATACCCGAAGACCTTTATACCCTCGGTCAGAAGTATATTAATACTAGACTTAAAGACTAAGGAAAACGCGGTAGCCACCGCGCTATAGTATTCCCTGCACTGTATACTGGAAGCGAAAAGGGTAAAGATACCTTAGAGGCCACGGATAAGCCCCGTAAGAAGGGCGGCCGTGGGAAGAAAGCTAAGAATCCTACTACCGCGGTATCTATAGCTATACCTTTAGCTGCTTTAGCTAACCGTTCCTCTTCTAAACGCCGCTAATCTACCCTATAGAGAGGTTAGATCTACCGCGTATACGCTATGCCTAGCCACGTATTAACGCCTGCTTCTATCTATTCCCGGATATGGTATATAACGATTAGACACCCTTCGAGAGCACTAAAATAACCGTCTAACGGATCCTTAAATACGACCCCGCGCTGCGCGCGGAAGTAGAAGAACTACGCGCCGCAAAGAAGATAAAGAAGGATATAAGCCGGGACTTAGTATAGCTTAAAGAGGCATGACTCGGCTATAGCAGCGTCCGTAGTGTCCGTAGCGGCGTCTCCCACGCCGCTAGCTTTATAGCAGGAACCGCTACTACTAGTTACCCTCTTCGAACCTCTACTATCCTCGATTCCAGCGCTACTATTTATATATTTAACGATTTTTCCCGTTTTTCTGATTTTATACCCGCCACGTAGGGGGACTATATAGTAGCCAGCAGTTTGTCTCTGCCTATTAAAGGTTACGGTAACGTGACCGTGAGGTTAAACGGACTAATAGGAGGCCTCGATTTTAGGCTATTAAACGTCGTATACTATAAGGATTTTACCTATAATTTAATCTTAAACTAACGCCTACGTCTTCGAGGATACTAGTAGAATTAGAAGCCACTAAATAACTATATTCGGCGTTCCGATAGATTTATACTATACTAGCTAAGTTACCGCTTTGATTAAACCGTTATTAAATACATACCCTCTAACTAATCTGCGGCTGCTTTTCTAGGCTTTTCTTCCACCTGAAAAGCTATCTATAAATCGACGATACGCTATCTAAGCATTATAAAGGGT